CACAGTCAAAACAATCATAGCAAAAGTAATAAATTTTACAATAAAAACCTAAACCGCAAATTACAAAAATAATTTGATCTGTGCAAATACGCGTATGAGCGGTATTTTTTTATTGAAATAAAGTTTGTAGTGATTACTTTCGGTGGGAGAGCCATTATAACTACCTGGGCAGATATGAATAAATTTTGGTTTTCAGAAAGCAGCTGGTTTGTTTTGAGCTTAAGCAAGTCGCCTGATTAGGCCGTTAAGAGTTTTTTTTTGAATTCTTCCATTTTTTTAGAAAAACGAAAATAAATATAAATCAATATAAATACATTTCGGTCAAAAGTTGACCGCGAAAAAAGACGCATAAAATAAACTTCAGCGAAGAAGAAAGGCCCCAAAATCTAGTCAATTGCGACGAACGCCGGCGAAGAAAGACGTGTTATTTTCACGGTCATCTATTATTGCGGGTGTAATAATATGTACGTACCATCACCAAAGAGTTCTTGGGAAATATTTAATGCTGAAGTGGCAGTCCTTGGCCGCGCCTTTCTTCGCCGTAAAACAATGGCGCGCCTTTACTCGTGTCTAGTGACATTATATTTAATACCCTTTATTCGCAATTTGTGGTGTTAATTCTGACTTTGCAATTTAATAGTAAATTCTTCTGTCAAGCGTTAAGTCTTAGATGGATTTTTATATCAGAATCTCATTTTTGTGAAAATTGCAGATAGAGGTACAAGCCCTCGATATGCTGAATTTATCTTAAACTTTTCATGTTCGAATTAAATTCCATCGAGCTAAGGCATCATTACAACAACAATTTTAAGGTGTGATGTATTTATTTAATTTTATTTTGTACATTTTATAACCTAAACCTTTTTATTAAAAAAAATATTTTCTATAGATATTTTTTAGAAATATTTCAGAACCACTTTTAGCAACATTTTGCTGCGCATTAGCAGTAAAAACGAAATCCCGCAGAAAACTAACATGCACGACAAACACAAACCGTTACAAAAAATATTTAAAACGAAAATATGTACAAACCAAAATATCAATGTGGCCTAAAAGACAACATCGGGCATGAAAGGGTTAAGAGAAGCTCTGAAAGAAACCCAGGCCATGCCGCGTTTATTTTACGATACTAATCTAAAAGCCTGATTATGGCAACTTAACTTAATTTACGGAATGTAGAACTTAGAGAATCAGAAAGAAAGAGATTTCGATGTGGCATTAAGTTACGTTAAGTTTCGGCTGTTCAATTATAAGCAACACACATTTAACAGAGTTGTTAAGAGAGAGCCATAAGTTACGTTACATAAGTTGCCATAATCAGACCATAAGTGCACAACGGCCACTTGATTTTTCTCAGAAATAAAATAAAGTTATGTATGTATGTATGTACGTAGTAAATATAACAGCATTATTATTATTTTTCAAATCTAGCAGTTACTTATGGTTAGCTTATTTACGTAATATAACATAGACGTAGAGCATACCATCATGTTCGTCGTTGGCCTCGATCTTGTAAACGGGATTCGAACTGGGCGGTGTACTTGGTGATTCTCGGGCCTCGCGTGCGCCTACACACATTAGAAAAACCAACAGTGTTTCTAAATAAATTTTTCTTTGAACCATTATCCAATAAATGCCAAACGAATTAGTGCCATATTACCGATTCATAGCCATGGAAATTAATACGGGCGAACTTTAGTTTAATTGCCGCTCTATTTAATGGCCATGGGTTTTGGCGAAGATGTCAATGAAAATAAATTTCAAAATTTGTTGTTTATGACTCTGCCAAAAGCTGTCAATTACGTTGACCAGGTGCGCATATATGAAAGCAGCACTGAACTTAAGAGGCCACTGCTTGCAACTAAGGTTTCTATTATTATTCGAAATTTTACTAATGACTTGAGATGTCTCTATTTCTGTAGAAAGCGCTGCCACCAATTTTCGTGGCATTGAAATAGAGTTCAACAAAAATATTCAACTAAATGCCCTTCGATTGAGTGTAAAAGACTTGAGTGTAATTTGCGTTTAGTAAGCATTCATCTTTAGTACTTTTTTCAGTTTCTGATAGTTATCTTTATTATTATTGCTATATTTATGCTATATTATGTATGCACCTACATAAATATATATACGTATCCAGTGCAGTGCTGATCTTTATTTTCTAGAATCTTTTAACCTTCCAAAAATTGTGCCACCCTCAAGGAAAATAAAAATAAATGTAGGCCTACGTGGTAAACAAAGGAGTGAAGTGAAAGATTTTCTCAAACTGGCTTAATGTGTGAAATGCGGAGTGGATTGGCGGGAATATTAAATCCATCGGAAAGTCTACCGCGACGAAAAAAATTAAAGCCATATATCTAACGTAAGCAGAAATATTTTCGAGAAAAATAGTCTTGCTAGGTGGCGCCAGTGTGGATATATTTTGAAATACCGTATTTGGTTTTGGATTTGGCGTATGAAATTGAAACGTAATAAATCATAGATTTCGAAAAAATTTACCCTGAATTGACACTGAGGTCAAAACATAAAGTATATACGACATTAAATTCATGTTTTATTTGCGTGGAAGTTTATGTCACGTCACGCCGTGCCATTTGGTATTGTAAAAGAAAATTGAAACAAGTTGCATTAATTCCAAAAACTCTAAAAACAACTAAAATTACTCCGAATCATATTAAAACAAGTTTCATGAAAGAAGCTATCCACAATTCGCAGAGTTTTTAGATTTTGTATGAAAAGAATATAAATCAATTTCCTTTTTTGTCACATAACGTCACTCTCTTTAATTGCGTATATTTACCGCATGGTTCGATTGCTTCTTTTTTTTTTGGTTAAATATGTATATAACTAATTATGTGCTACCCAAAGGCCCAAAGATGTAAAAGAAAACAAATGTGTTTCTTTGTTTGTATATCATTGAAACGTACGACTGTCACGTACGTGACGAATGGAAATATCCATATTTAAAAAGGAAAGCCAAAGTACTAGGCAGGATTTTTTTGTTAGCATTGAAAATAATAATCTAGGCTTTGGAAGATTCTTGCTAAGTTTCTTACATGGGACTAGTGAATGAACTACCGCAGCAAGGCTGTGATAGAAGCGGCTGCGACTACCTTTCCAAAAACTGGGCTAGAATAGATACGTGCATTACAAAGGGGGAAGATCTCGAATATTTTGAAGACACATTGATGAAGAGCGGTTCGAGCCATTTAAGTCCACGGGTATAATGGTTTACTATCTACGTTTCTACAAAAGGAGATTGTGCAACTCTCCATTCTAAGCTACCGATATCTATATATATAAAGGAAAGGAGTTTATCTCAACCAATGCCCAAAATTCAGCCCGCCTATACGAAGGTCAAATCCTCAGAGATCGTTCTTCTTTGTATGATG